GCAGAGAGGAGGAGTTTGAAATGGGCATCTTCTAAGTATTGGGAGATACTTAATAATCAATAAGATGCTTATTGGGATTGGAAGGTACAACTGTGGTTTACTAAAATAAGCAGCAGCTCACAGTGGAACCACAGCCAGTCAAGTCCTGCTGCAAAAACAGGTTTTTCATGTGTATCTCCTGAAATCACTGTTTTTTTCTTTCAAGTAAAAACAAAATCAGATTTAGTTTTTAAAACTGCCATTCTGCTGCATTCTGCTTTCCTGGCGTGTCAAGCATACTGCAGGGATTGGTCTGATGGGGAGAAAAGAGATTGTTTTGAGAAATTACTAAACACAATAAGCTTCTCTGTCCAAGGCTTCACTGGCAATTTATACCAAACAACATATGTGCTTTCCTTTACTCTTTTATCATATTACAGCTCACTACCTTGCAATGTTTTCCTTGTCTCTCTGAACAGGAGCATGAGAAAAGGTGCTGGAGTGTTGACTTTAACTTGATGGACCCAAAGCTATTGGCTTCAGGCTCTGATGATGCCAAAGGTATTCTTCTTTTTCAGTCTCTGTGCAGAAGGCTTATACTCTGTGTATTCCCTTGGAAGAACCAAACTGTGATGTTTCAAGTATTTGATTCCTCAGCTACCTTCAGTGTTGTAGTGGTTGCAGTAATGTGTCAAGATATTACCAACTCGTTGGGATCTTAGAGAAGGAGAGGCTTTGTTTGGATTAAGATCTCTTGCCTCACATTTTTGTGTAATATACTCTCAGCTAGCATTTTCCAGGGTTCTAAACAAAACAAAATGTGTTTTAACAGTGGTTAAACTTGTTGAGTTAAAGCCTCGGGGCCTTTCAAAAGAACAGCATGTACTTATATTTCAAAAGTGAGGCTGTGGGTTAGAAAGCAGCAGTTTAAAAATGCCTGCTGCTGTTTCACCTGGAGCTCTGAACGTTACAGCCTCTGCATAAGAAGCTTCCTGCTTTCATGATGTGCTCTGTGTTTCTTGGAGCTTAAAGGAGTTGGATGGTGGGTTGAGTGGGAGCAGCTCTCAGCTTTTCCACACTCTGGGGTCCGTTTGACGAAGCACTTTTGGAGAACCCTTAAGACAAATCCTTTACCACATGGTGGTAGAAAAATATTCCTCTTCTAAGAAGAAATGGGAAGCTCCTAAAGAAAAGAATAGCAGTGAGTGACATGTAGTATTCTTCATCCCTAATGAACAAGATTTTATCTGTAATATGTTTACAGTATCAAATTAGAGTTATTAAACAGCAAGAGCTTAAGAGTTCCTTGCCTAGTCAGTGGGGAACAGCTCTCCCAGATGGGCTGATACAGCTATGGACAGAGCTCTGCATGATTTGCTTTGAAATGATAGATGAATTTTTCATGAGCATTAAACCTTGTAAGCCACTTTTAAGAGAAAAAGCTTTTAAATGCTGTTTCAGGAGAAAGCTCTATTAGTGTTCCTCTATTACATTTGGCAGAGAATCCCAGAAGGGTTTGGGTTGGAAGGGACCTTAATTATCTCATTCCACTCCCTGTCATGGGCAGGGACACTTTCCACTAGACCAGATTTGTTCCAAGCCCCATCCAGCCTGGCCTTGAACACTTCCAGGGATGGAGCAGTCACAGCTTCTCTGGGCAACCTGTGCCAGTGCCT